AGTTCCTCTACTTGTAATAGAGTTGGTTAGCGAACAGCATGGATCCTGATCAAACTATTTCAATTTTTTTTTCAAATTTAAATATTTTGGTTAACTTCTAAATGCACATTTTGTCAAAAAGTATCAAAGAGAGTACATATGTATTCACTTCATATTTAGAGTTCTTATTCACGATCAAATGTGAAATGCATTCACGCCTGGTAAATGATAGAGCTAAAACTTTCGGAGCTATACGGTAAATCGCTCTGTCGCTACTTCCGAGCTAGTGCATGTCGCTAAAATCAAGTGTCAAGTGTTTTCATTTTTTTATATATTTTGTAAACTCTTCGGAGAATGATATGCCATGTAGATTTGATTAAAGATTCCAGAAAACGTAAAGTTGTTAGAATGTTTTTGAAATGTAGTTGTGGAGTTAGCGAATTCAGCATTGAAATGGACCGTTTCATCATGAAACAGGATATTTTCCCTCTAATTTTTATCTAATCAGCGATTCAAATTAAAGACAAATACATTTAAAGTAGATATAAGGCATAGAAATAAAATAATATTGAAATCAGATCAAAACATTAGTTAATAAAGAAAATATAGGATATTTGTTCTGGGAGACAGCTCTGTCGTGAAGGAGGTAGTCATGTATTCGAGGAGATAGCTCTTTGGTTACGTACAAAGTGTCTGATTGTTTGTGTATATTTTATTCATTATATTAATCTCGGCACAAAAAAAATAATGAAAACAATACTATACTAATGTAATTACTATGCATTTATATCATGACGTAATTTGCATAACAAAACATTAACATTTACAGCGTTCAAATTGTTTTCGACTCATTTTTTTCACTGTACACAACTTTTACTTTGTATATGCTGTAGTATCTATATTTGTGTAGTATTAAATTAAGTATTAAACCTGCGCTCATTCAATGTCCTTTTAGTTTATACATGTACAATCATTTTTTCCAAGTTACATCAAAAACTTAACTTTAAAGTACATGATAAAATTTTAACTTTTTGTACAGAACTTACAAAACATAAACATAGTAAATATTTGCCCTTTTCAGATGGCTACATTTACATAGTGTATATCAAGACACGAGTAGTTTTGCTAATATGTCGGATACGCCGAATATCAAAATCCATAATGTAATACATGTATATACGATATTGTATTTTAAGATACGACGAAATTCAAAAGTCATATCGAAATTCCCACGAATGATCTTGAAAAATAAACATTTTCATGGAAATATTTTTCATGATGTTTAAATTATAATTTCTCAGCAACCGTATCTTCATGTTTCATGTAAAATAGATATATCAGTTTATTTTCTTTCCGTTGTGCTCGTTTCTTCCATACAACTGCACACTTCTGCATTACTTTTTCACAATGTCTGCATTATGTGCACCACTATGCGTTACTGGATATTCAAGGGGTTTTACGGAAAAAAGGACAAGCTGCAAACAGTGTAGATACTAGCACTTTAGCTAAAATGGCAACTAACTTTGCATTTTAAATAGCGAAAAAAATCTTCTCAGAAACCTTTAAAAACAAGTACACCAAAAGCTCAATAAATATTTCTTGTCGCAACTATCGCATTCATATTTCTATTTCTTTCTTCATAATTATACCCGTTGTATCAACATCCTTAAGATCTTTTTCACCGAAAACCTTTTACATTCTTGCCCATATCATTTTTGGTCCCCTTTGAAACCATATAGCTATCTCCTTAGCGACATGACTACTTTCTTCACGACAGAGCTGTCTCCCAGACCAAATATCCTATATTTTCTTCATTAACTTATGTTTTGATCTGGTTTCAATCTTATTTTATTAGTATGCCTTATATCTACTTAAAATGTATTTGTATTTAATCTGAGTTGCTGTTTAGATGAAAATTGGAGGGAAAAATATGCTGTTTCATGATGAAACGGTCCATTTCAATGCTGAATTCGTTAACTTGGAAACGCCGCTACGATTACATTTCAAACACAATTCTAACAACTTTACGTTTTCTGGAATCTTTAATCAAATCTACATGGCATAACATTCTCCGAATTTCGATATTTGGTGTAGAGTTTACAAAATATATAAAAAATGAAAACACTTGACACTTGATTTTAGCGAAATGCCCCACTTCTCCCCCATTTTTTATTATTTGTTTTTAATTTATTTTCTTTCATTCATTTCATCGTTTTTTGAATATTTGCCTTTTTTAAGAAAAACATTAAAAGTTGAAGGAATTGTTCACTATGAAGGGCAGACAGGCACTTATAGCAATTACTTTTGCATAATTACGGCTCGTGTTTTTTTTTTGTTTTTCTTTTACTCTGATATCAAACACTGAGGAAAGTGGAACACAAAAATCTAAATCTGAGAGAATATTATTTGTCAAACAGATCATTGTTCTATTTTAAATGTCTATATGAATTGTGTTCGTATGAAATTTGTTAATTACGGTCTCAATAAAAATTGTATATCGAAATAACCTTCATTCTTTCAATTATTCAAACAAAAAGTTTCTGTAAAAATACCCCTTGATATATGCTTTCTTTTTATAAACATAGAATAGGTGTATTTCAAGTGTACCCCAAATGCGAGACAAATCTCAAAGGCAAGGGTATGATTTCAATTACTTGTAGAAGTGCAAAGCTACATGCCAGATATCTGAAATATAATTAGCATAATTGTTTCTGTGGTGATTTTAATAACTTAGTGAGTGATGTTGCACTTTTTCAGTATCCCTAATGCACAGACTCAAACAACCCGAGTCTGGAATTTTGCTGTATTTACTGGTTCTGAGGGATCACTTTTTTCCACATATTTTAATGTTTTAAGAATGAACAAGTATTCGGATACACATAAATAGTTTTCAAAAGGAACTTAAAAGAGTTATCGAGGGTCATTATAGGCCCCTTACTGGAGGCACTAACTTAACATACACTTATAAAGAAAACATATTTCCATTAACTTCCCTAGAGCTATTGAATTAAGCATGGGACATTATTTTGTTGACTTCAATATAAGCTATACAAATCACGGCCCTCAATGGGATTGAAAGTGGTTTGCACAAAGGTTCATATTTTATTAAATAGACATGTATGAGAAATATTTTAATTCGGCTCTTCAGAAGCATCAATGTCCAGAGTGTTCATATTTAGGATGTAGCATCACTTTAAGGCTCTCAACAAAAAGAATGTAATTATGGCTCCGGAGACAAAACTGGACACGTAATGAGGGTCACTCATTTTACATAGAATTCTTTAGGAAATGGCACATCTTTGAGTTTAGATATGGTCATCAGACCTCTCCACAGTGTTCAAACTGATTGCTGGTGGCATCCATTTTTGCTAATCTGATTGTAGTGAATGAATTTCATTTAAAGCGTAAAATCATTAGGAGCAGTCTAATGTACTATTATGCGCATGCTCCGCTTTAAAATACGACTAAACTTAAACGAAAAATTAATATTGAAGTGGACAAATCGGTACATAGAAAAATCGGAAAATATCTTTTACGTTATTTAGCGCTAGGTGGATGTTTAATTCCGTTTGAATCTTTTAAAATGTATAAATCGATCATTGTTTTATGAGTAGTGTTTTACCATTACATGTTCCGATAAATAGTAGCAGTGAACATTATAGCTACAATATCACCATTTTTATTTCACACAAACATTTTAAAAATAATCTTTTTTTTTTAATCCAAACAATAATTTTTGCATCAGATATATAGCTTTATACACTTTAAAATTGTTTGATTAACATTCTCTATGCCCGTTTTGGAAAATGTAGAGGAAATATTTCCATATACTTAACAAAACATTAACCGAAAATTTGCTTATTGAATTTTATTAGAAACTTTTATTTTTATACTACTTTTAAAATATGTAGCATCTATTTTAGATTTAGTTTGATGACATAACATATTTTGTTCCGTTTGTAGAAAAAGTATCTCTAATGCGCCAAGAAAAAAGTCAATTTCTCATGCATATAATCTTTCAAAACATTAAAAAAATGAAGTGTTAAACAAACTTTCATTACGATACTATATTCAATATATATGGTAAATTATATTTTGTTAAATAATTGTAATTTATAATCATTCATTACGCCTATTATGCAAAAATATCCCCAAGTATTTTCGAATTTAACACATTTTCCACAGCTGCAAAAGACCTTTCGCATGCTTCTTTTTAAATGCGCAAACTTGTGTTTAATTGTCTCTACCCTTGATATAAGTAGGCATGCTGGTCTGAGGCTGTTCGTCAGTCTCACTGTCTGTCTGGTGATCTGTGTGATCTGTGTGCATGTTTTTCTAAAACAGCTTAACCAGTTTTTATAAAACTGTACATGAATAATTTTTATGAAGTCTACTTAATCAATGTTAGTATAATGGCATTTGCAGACAATCGCCGAATCAGAAAAGCACCATTTCTTGGTAGCAGTATACATCTGTAGACAATGTGAGACAGAAATTTTTCTTTACGGATATATCATCAGTATTAAAATACACAATGTATATAAAAATTATTATCATGGGACGTTTTCGAATAGAAAAACAAAATCGAAATAAATTCAACGATGCGCAGCACATGAAATTTTTTTTTCATAATTGAAACGTTATCGTGAAGTAAGATTAAAAAAAATTGTGTTCTTCTCACTTAATCTGTAAATAAATCGAGATACATGTATTTTAAATGTTTGTGCGATGACAGATTTCTTTGGCTACTGTGTAAATTTTAAGTGATAGTTTTGTTTTGTGTTATTCTCAACACAAGTGTGATAGCTGTCTTAAATTAGAATAATATTTACGTGATTCTAATTCTAAATTTTTATTCTAGTATATATTTCTATACACTACAATAAAACGATTAAAATTGCGGGAAAATAAACGTCATAATTAATTTATGTTAGGTATGTGGTGAAGCGTAGCTTAAAGCATTACAAAACGAACATATTCAAATACAGTTGTCAAAGATTGATGGGGGGTTTTTTTGACAGGATACAAGAAGTGTCAACCTGATGAAGTTTTTAAGACTTACAAGTTTTTACATCAGTATACATTACGAATATGTCTTATCACGTAACAAGAATGTGTGAGTATCAATTAAGCTGGGTTTATTCATCGATAATTGCACATTGCAAAGCCGCCATATACTAAGTAAAGATTACCTGTTCCTGATCATGTAAGTTATTGTTTTGTATTTCTTCATTATTTTACGGAATTTTTGACGCATGTACTTCATCACAAGACAAACATAGACTTAGTCAGTGACAATATTTAAGTTAACCTCGACCAGTGAGCTCATAGCTGCCTAAGATAAATTATATCATCTCTAAATGTCTAATTTATACGTTTGAGCAGCCATTATTAGTCTATTAGAATATAAAAAATATATAAATATATAGCTAAATTTTGTCAACTTAATTGAAGTCGGTCGACATTTACAACATTCCGACATTTACAACATTCCGCGCGATGAATAAAAAATTATGTACACTACTGTTCTAATCTGACAACTTTAAAAACGACAAAGAAAGAGACATTATTATATGATATTTATTACATGAAAGGCAACAACACATTTGTATTCAGGAAAATTGAGAAAATTAAATGGTTTCCTTCTATTAAAACTATTTATAATGTTGCTGAAAGGTCATTGAATATTAAAAGAAAACAAACGATTCCTTACTCTATGAATAGGTTACATTTTATTTATATAAATAATTACCGCATGATAATGTGAGAGTGACGTTTCATTTAATGTGTACACAAAAGTCTGTGTACGACCCTTAAATCAAATATAACGGTATTTGAACCTTAATATTACATCGGGATTCCTTGCGATCAAATATTTTGTCACGAGTTCGAGTTTCACAAATAGACTTCTTTTTTTAATTATTTTATTTTTGCATCAGACGTAGTGTCATTCATAAATTATATTGTCAAACGATGTAAAAATAACCGGGCAATAATGATTTACTGTCCCGCATATTTTGCAGTGCACAAGTATTTCGTGTCAACTGAATTAAAGTTATGCAATGTGTGATATAGTACTGTCTTCTTGTTCACTTCCAATAACTTCTAAGATAAAATCTCTATAATAGCTTATGATTGAATATTGTAATTCAATAACTTTAACGCTTACGTTTTCAGTTCTTTATTATTATTATTATTATTATTATTATTATTCTTTCAGCTTTGCCAAGTGAAATCGATTAGAAAATGGCACAAACAAGTTCGTCGTCCAAGGAACTACGTTACATTTATTTGGCAGCTGCTACAATTATAATTTTAGTAATTTCATTGACACAGATTCAGGACAAATATGCTTCTGAAAGATATGCAAATTTTTTACGTCAGTTCAAACCGGCAAATCACAGCGAGGTTAACGTTTCCAGATACATGTACACTGTGACAAAGTTAAAACCGGAACAACGATTGCAATCATTCTGCAATCATGTGGACACTGTTAATAGGCTGAAAATGACAAGTCTGAAATTTTCTAGAGTAACGGTTATAAAACTTGATGATGAAGGGAATATAACAATTGCTATAGAAACGTTTGATATGAGCAATAGAAGAAAAACAATAGGCGATGACGTCATTGTCGTCTGGGCACGCCAAGCAAATGGAGACGGATCCGTTTCCGGTCACGTGATTGATCACAAAAATGGCTCATATACGGCCAGTGTAAAAGTGTACTGGACTGGAAAGACTAAAGTGACATTGAAATTGGCTTCTTCCCTTGAAAACACTTGTCTCCGTATGAAAGCCTTGAGAAAATACGGAAATACAGTATTTGCTATGCAAAAGGCATGGGGAATAAGGGGAACATTCCGGACAAATCTACTTAAGGAGCTTACTGCTTGTGGTGCTAACAAAATGATTTTTGAATATGAAAAAGTTTGCAATTTTACAAGTCTTAATGGTGGTATGTCATGGTTTTGTGGAAAACCAAAACGCGCGACAGTAAAGTGCTCAGATATTAAATATTTTGGAACTGGGTCAATTTATAACAGTATGGTGCCTCAAAAAGAAAAGATACGAAATAAAGGACATGGAATTTTTAAAAAGACATTGTATCTTGAAATCCCAACATTCAATAAAGCAATAAGGGAGGTTTCATGCAGTCAGCGTCCAGTGTCGTCATCATGGACGGAATCTGGTCCAAGTGGTTACTGGTTGTATAATAGATGGAATTTTGTGAATTGTTTCAGCAATATAAAACATGATGTACCATCTTACGTGCGGTGTCTGAAAAATAAAAATATTGTGCTAATTGGAGATTCTACTGTAAGACAATATGCAGAATATTTCATTGAACACGTCCTAGATCTTGGACATGTTAACATGAAAGACGCCATAGGGCCAAATGAACAATATCATGCAAAGAAATTATTCACAAATTATGGAATTAATTTAATGTATGTTAAACATGAGATGCCGTTCCATAATCCAAATTTTCCACCAAATGGTATTGTATCTGTGCCCCAACTTTTGCATTCACTAGAAAATTACAATGATAGTAATAATTCATTGATTTTAATAATAAATTATAATTCTCATTTTTCCGCGTATCCGCCGTCAAAATTTAGGGAAAGAATAAGACATTTGGCCATGGCCATCGAAAGTTTTGTTATTAGAAAACCAAATACTAAAATATTCTTTAAGGGACCACATATTTGTATAGATGATAGCCGATGGTTTGATGCGAAAATTTCACTTCTCTTTGAAGAAATCATCAGAGAAGAGTTTTCAAAACTCAGACACAAAGTTATATATTTAGATGTTTGGTCAATAACAATTGCCCATAATAGTGAAAATCTTCATCCTGTAGGAAATGCGTTTAATAGTCAAATTCATCAATTTATGTCTTATATATGCTAAAGTGTTGTGCTTTAACCTAAAATGTTAATACCTTTGTCTGAAAGTAACTATCCACAGTAAGTTTACAAATTTACCGGTACATAGTGTTAAAGATACATACTTTTGATATCACTAGCAACTTGTTTTTAGATAATCCTTGAAGGTGTGATAAGAGAAAACATGGACGACATAATTGTAGGACAGTTAGTCATATTAAGACATACATCTTTGACAAAAACTTATTGATTTAAGTTCCAGACTACACAATAGTTCTGTGAGGACACTGCAAATAGTGGTGAATTTGTTTTTATTGTTGAGTTTCTTCTTTTTTTCCCTAGTTGTTTAAAATGAGGAAAGTTTTTATTTTAAATGTACAATAAGTTTAAGTCTCAAAATATGTTCGTTATCAAAAATTTATCGGGGTAAAAACGGCTTTAATAAAAAGTCTTGGATATTTTGGATCAATGAATTAATTATAATAATTATATACACTTATGGTATACAAAATACATTTTGTTAGAGTTTGTTACAGTTTTATACAAAGGCTATGTATAAATATATAAATGAACGTTGTATTCTAGTAAAATATACAAATGTATATTCCCATGAAGTTACCGCTAGTGTTTTAGGAGCTGTTAGCATTACCCTCTCGCCATTATATAGTGCGTGCCTCAAGATGAACCATAATATTTCATGGAAATTATACTTGAGAATTGTATAATAATTCTAAGAAATGTAAAAATAATAAGATAAAAGAATACTTTGCTTGTTAATTATATGCTATTAAGGACTGATTTTATTAAGACTGTATTCCTCTCCATATTTCTACTGCATGGCTTTCGAGTAAGGGCTATTTTGCATATTTTGAAATCTTAAATGACATTTGATGGACATTTTCACTATTTAAATATGTCACCAATTCAGAAAGGCAGATAACCCTAAAATTTATTTTTGTAAAAGTGTGCCCTTCTTCTTAATTAAAAGGTCCATATCTCTTCAAAATTTGAATACAATTAACCTTATAATTTATTTTTGCTCAGCTCAGTACTTTGTTAATTTCAATTTTTTTGGTTGACTTCTTAAGGTACATTTTGTCAAAACCTATCGAAGATGTAACAAATTCACTTCATGCTTGGAGTTCTTATTCACGATAAGTTGAATATTTAATAGCAATGACATGCCAACTTATATTTTTCAAAATAACAAAACGCCATGACTATTTACATTTTTTGGCAATTTTTCTGTCCAGAAATGAGTGCTTGGATAATCATTTTTTGTTGAAAAATTGTTACGAGTATCTGCACCGGGGACTTTTATGTAGGCCAAACACGTTTGTGTTTTATATTATTTTTAATTTATTATTTTTACTTCATTTTATATATTTTTTAGAATATTTGCCTTTTCTCAAAAACCATCAAATGTTTTCTCTTCAAACTTGACGTAATTGTTTTCTACAAAAGGCCGGTAACTATAGCAATCACTTTTGTTTAATTATGGCCCTTTTTCTATTTCTTTTCTTTTTTTAACTATACAGCACTGAGGAAAGTGAAGGACAGTCCTTTCTGCGTTTATTTCTCAAAGTCAGAGATATTTTTCACAATAAAAGAATGTCATGACCGTGTTTACTTTTTTGGCATACCCGAAATATTTTTGAAAAATTGTTACAAGTATCTGCACCGAGGCATTTGTGTTTACAAAACACGTTCTTGTTTTGTTTTTTATTTTTTTAATTCTTTTTTCATTAATTATTTTTACTTCATTTTATCTCCTTTTTTTAAATATTTGATTTATCCAGCAGAGCATAGTCATTGTTGTGTTTATTTCTCATATTCGGAGAGAATATAATGTTTGCCAAAAAGGTTATTGTTCTGTAGTAGATGTCTATATGAATTGTTGTGTTTGTATTTAACTTGTTCTTGACGTTAATAATAAAAATTGTTATCGAAATAATCGTTATTCATTCATTCAAAACGATTAGACAGTTATTCATATATACACTTAACAAATTTTATAAGTGTGTATGTTAAAATGGTCTCATATTTGTATCAATATTGCCCGATCATGCTGAAATGTTCAATACATTTAGCTGAGAGATATGATATTATATATCATTTATTTGATTTCATAACAAACACAAATTTTACACAAATGAGCAATGTATTTGATGGTAAGGGAAAAGTTAGTGTTGCAAAATGACGACGTCAGTGATTTTTCTTATAATACCACGTATACGTACTAAGTCTAACTCTCGGTCACAGCCGTCATAGTATGGAATTGACATAGACGTGTACATTCAACCGGTCAATCCATCCCGTAAATTTGCTATCACATTTAAATCTAAAGACTTTTGTGGTATGTTAATCACATTTATGTGTTAAGGTACAGAAAAACTGTGCAGTGTTTGGCTGGTACGCCATCGTGCAGCATCCTTAACATATGTCAGTAAAAATAGCTCAGTTGGAAGCACTTGTTTCAAAGCGGCGTTGAGATTGCCCTTAATGTTCAGTACCAAAATACGTGCAAAGATAGCTCAATAGTGGGCCAATGTTATTTATTGGGCAGCTGTGTAGGATTTGTATTCCTAATGAAATTAAGTAATTTTAATATCATATCATGTCTCTCAACTGTATCCATTGGCAATTTTAGAATACTGGAGCAAATATCGAGAGACATGTGAGGTCAATTTTATACATGCACACTGATAAGAATTGTAAAATAGAGAGAAATAAGAATCCCTAAAGAAAGCCCAACACGGCAAAATTGAAAATGTTGCAGGCTCGGTTTGATTGAGCCTGTTCATGGACAGTACTGGAAAGTGCAAGTTACCGTCCACGCCCCTAGCACCGGCTTAAGCAGAATTCAACATTTAACATGAACTGGTAAAATTTAGAATTTTGAAATGTCCGCAGATGTGTTCATATGGCGGTTATCATGGAACCTTCAATGTTCCATGAGAAGAGGCATATGGTCCCCAAGTAAAAAAATGTAAAAAAAAAACTTCTTTATAGTTTAAGAGATTTTGAAAATACTTGGCAGAAATAGTTACAATAATAAGACGATTTGTCATGCCCAACACCTGCATCCCTACCTCCATGGTCAAGGTGTCACTTAGAGGTCAAAGCTTAACATTATAGATTTTTAAATTCCGTGTTTCATTTTATATCTTTAATAAATTTATTGTTGCATTTGCAGATCTAACATTGATCATAATTTTGGACTAAAAGTCCTGAGATCCATACCTCAATCTTTTGAAATAGAACAATTTTATGATTGATATAAAACTGTCTGTTTTGTTTTTTTCATGATTTTGCAAGATAATAATATTATGTTATTATAATATGTTGTTGAGGTAAGTTTGAAATAAATATATATATATTTGATGGACAAATGACATTTATGAAATCGCTGTGAGCCTGTCAATAAGTAGATCTAACACATTACATTAATAAGTTAACAAGTGTTATCGAAAAGACAGTTTACCGTGCAAAGAATTGACAAGTAAAAGGTGGTAAAGCTTTCGAATAAAATGTACTGCAGGTCTTATACATGTATACCCTCTAACCAAACCTAATTCAGTGCCTAAGTTCCGACGAAAACAGTATATTTTTTTTCTTTTCCAGTCAAATAAACATACGGAATTTTCAAAGATATTAACCCTGATATATTTTTTGTAATGGATTTCATTCAAAGTTTAAGGGATTTCAATATCAAAATAGAATATTGTCAAACTGCACACAGAGTGTGATGGGGTAGCCTGGGTAAAGGCTTAATCACTTTATTGGTCAAGTTGAAAGTTAACACTATAATGGTCAGCATAAAATGTTGTATGTATATCTAATTAAAATTCTATCATTCCTCAAGTGAGAATTAAGATGTTACTAACGGATTTATTCCAAATGTATTTTCCTCCGACATATTTTGGCCGGTGTAAAATGTATTTTTTAAATGACATATCTTCCTCTGTCTAACTGTAATACATTGTACTGACGGCCAAAAGCGTGAAGTATCTACCATTTTGTATCGTTTATTGCATCTGTCATGCATTTACATAATGAATTAAGAAATAAACGAATAAAACATCAATAAGAAATTTAATACAAACACAACGCTTTATAGAGACATTAACATATTTAAAAACATGGTGAGAACAACATTCTTACTCACAGAATAAAATAAATAAATATAACAGAAACTTATTCGGGAAGCATTTGGTAACTCCATGGGATTATATATTATGCATCTTGCAAGAATGCAACTTGTATTAATATGACCTGACAAAAATTATCTTGTACCTTTCCTTTATAGAATAAAAATATAACACAATCAAAGGGCTGCAACCTCTGTGGTATTTTCTGGTCTTTGCAATCTAAATCATACTGACTATCTGTATGTATTTTCCTATATAAATTTATTTTTATATACTATAATTAATCTTACGCAGCGACTGCGTCTATAACAGTTTGAGATTGATACATATGGAATTTTGCATGACTAGAGTTGCACCAAAAAATCATTTTCATTTTTTATGACAGCCATACTTAATCTTTGCATATCGTGGCTACTTCCTTAAAAAAGACACTTCAAAAAAAAAAAAAGTTGCCTCGACTAGGATTTGAACCTTGGGCCTCTCACACCCTAAACGAGCGCGCGGTGAAGTATACATATGTAGAATACATTGTAATTCTAAATTGAGAATTTCCATTCCGTGTATGTAATCCTTACTAATTTCGAGGTATTTTCTTGACTATAAACCTGTTGTGTAACACTGATGAAAATAATTTAGCGAAAATCTTTTCGCCAAAACAGTACGACATGTATATATTCCACTACTCGACAGTCAGATTTATGTGTACTACGCTCTGGAGTATTCGGTAATCGACATAGCTAAAAATAGCATTTTCATTGATTAAGCTTTACGGAAATAGCCGAACAGTTTTCATTGGGTAAAAAAGATATTCATCCGCGAAATTTGTGATTGTAACCTCATATTTCTATTGACTACTCTAAACTTTTAATGCACTGTAATTCGTTAAATGCATACATTAAAAATTGTTCTTTATTTTAGATTGCTGGTTTTTAAGCAGTTCTGAGTGAGACCTACTTTGCGTTGTTAGGTCTGTTAGGAAAATTTGTGTTAGACCGTGGATGTTAGCTATGTATTTACTGATCTTGCGATCAGAAAATACAAAAAGCATGTCCATTTTAAATACCCTCGGCGAGTTATTCACCCTGACAGTCTGATACGTACAGGAACTTCTACACATTAAGTTGTTCATATGAGAATATTATACATTGTTAAGTATCATACTGAATTCTGCCGGGCGAGTGCACATCTGTACCTATATTGGATGAGGCGCTAGCACGTATTTTGGTACTGAACCTAACTTGTGTTCATTAAGGGTAATCTCAACGCAGCTTTGTAACAAGTGCTTCCAACTGAGCTATTTTTACTGACATATGTTAAGGATGCTGCTGGATGGCATGCCATCCCAACACTGCGAAAATGACAGTTTTTTCGGACATAAACGCGATTAACATGCCACAAAAGTCTTTAGATTTAAATGTGATAGCAAATTTACGGGCTGAATTCACCTGTTGAGTGGGCAAATTTACTGCAAAATACATTATTGTTCAGGTTTTGTCACACCCATGCAATGACGATCAAGAGTCAGGCTGCGTATACGTGGTATTATAAGAAAAATCACTGACGTCGTCAATTTGCAACACTAACTTTTCCATCACCATCACATATATTGCGCATTTGTGTAACATTTGTGTTTGTTATAGAATCAAATAAATGGGAAACAATATCATTTCTTTCTCTCAACTACATATATTGAACATTTCAGCATTGCCATTGCTAGATACAAATATGAGACCATTTTAACACGCAAACTTATCAAAGTGTTCATTTGAATCACAGTTTTGAATGAATGAAAGAATTACGATTTTTTCGGTCACAATTTTTATTTAAAACGTTAAGAACAATTTAAATACAAACATAACAATACATATAGACATTTACAACAGGACAATAACCTTTTTGGCAAACATTATTTTCTCTCTGAATATGACAAATAAACACAACAATGCCTATCCTCCATTTTGTTCAGTGCTGATTAAAGCAAATATTTAAAAAAGAAGACAAAATGAAGTTAAAATAATTAATTAAAAAAGAATAATAAAAAAACAAGAACCTGTTTGGTAAACATAATGCCCATGGCGCAGATACTTGCAACATTTTTTCAAAAATGTTTACCCATGCACTCAGTTATGGACAGCAAAATTGCCAAAAAATGTAAACACAGTCATGACGTTTTGTTATTGTGAAAAAATTGTGACTATTAGAAAAAAACGCATAAAAGGATTGTGCTTCATTTTCCTCAGTGCTTGATAAAAAAAAATAGAAAAGGGGCCATAATTATACAAAAGTGATTGCTATAATTACCGGTCCATCGTAGTATTGATGGTTTTGAGAAAAGGCAAATATTCTAAAAAAGATAAAATGAAGTAAAAATAATTAATTAAAGATAAACTATGCTCAAATTTGGTGTTTGAAAATATTGATGATTGCTACGCAGTCTCTTTGTAAATATGAAATAAACATGTTTCTACCTCATTCAAAGTAGATATGCTACACACTAAAAGTGGTCAAAATATGAATATATAGTGTCATTAAAAAACTGACAGTTTTTTATTTAAGAAAAGACCATCGTACATTTTTTAATTCAAATTAAACATATTCAGTAAGGATTTCATGGATTTCAATAAATTTCTGTGATAAAAATATTTTACTCAAAGATGAGCATAGTATATCTTTAAAAAAAAGAATATAAACACGAACATGTTTGGCAAACATAAATGTCCCTGGTGTAGATACTTGTTACAATTTTTCAACAACAAAAAATATGATTATCCAAGCACTCATTTTTGGACAAAAAAAATTGCCAAAAAATGTAAATACAGTCATGACGTATCGTTATTTTGAAAAATATAAGTTGGCATGTCATTGCTATTAAATATTCAACTTATCGTGAATAAGAACTCCAAGCATGAAGTGAATTTGTAACATCTTCGATAGGTTTTCACAAAATGTACCTTAAGAATTAACCAAAACAAGAGGGCCATGATGGCCCTAGATCGCTCACCTGAATTATCAAACTCATCCAAACAATTACCTAGACAAGCATTCTGACCAAGTCTCATGACAGGTGAGTCAAAAATGTGACCACTACAGTGTTAACAAGGATTATCCATATTTGAGCAGTGCGACCTAGTTTTTTACCCAGGTGACACATATTCAAACTTGACCTAGAAATCATCAAAACAAACTTTCAGACCAATTTCCAGGATACTTGGATCAAAACAGTAGCAACTAGAGTGTTAACAAGATTTTTCTATTTTTAGCTCCGGTGACCTAGTTTCACATGCGATTTCGAACTAATCCAAGCAATTACCTAGACAAGCATCCTGACCAAGTTTGATGATAATCGAGTCGAAAATGTGACCACTAGAATGTTAACAAGGTTTTTCCATATTTGGGCGGTGTGACCTAGTTTTTCATCCAAGATGACCCATGTTTGATCTTGACTTAGAAATCATCAAAAAAACTTTCAGACCAATTAACAGAATATTTGGATCACAACAGTAGCCACTAGAGTGTTAACAAGATTTTTCTATTTTTAGCTCATGTGACCTAGTTTTTCATCCGAGATGTCCCATGTTCGATTTATTCCAAGCAATGACCTATTCAAGTTTCCTGACCAAGTTTGATGACAATTGAGTCAAAATTGTGACCACTAGAGTGTTAACAAGGTTTTTCTATTTTAGCTCCTGTGACCTAGTTTTTCATCCGAGATGACCCATGTTCGAACTCATCCGAGCTATCACCTAGACAAGCATTTTGATCAAGTTTGATGATGATTGATGCAAAAATGTGACCGCTAAAGTGTTAACAAGGTTTTTCTATTTATAGCTCCGGTGACCTAGTTTTTCATCCGAGATGACCCATATTCGAACTCATCTGAGCTATTATCTAAACAAGCATCCTGACAAAGTTTGATGATGATTGGGTCAAAAATGTGACCACTAGAGTGTTCACAAGGTTTTTCTATTTTTAGCTCCTGTGACCTAGTTTTCATCAGAGATGACCCATGTTCGAACTCATCCAAGCAATTGACTAGACAAGCATTCTGACCAAGTTTGATGATGATTGGTTCAAAAATGTGACCACTAGAGTGTTCACAAGGTTTTTCTATTTATAGCTCCTGTGACCTACTTTTTCATCCGAGATGACCCATGTTCGAACTCATCCGAGCTATCACCTAGACAAACATCCTGACCAAGTTTGATGATGATTGGGTCAAAAATGTGACCTCTAGAGTGTTCACAAGGTTTTTCTATTTTTAGCTCTTGTGACCTAGTTTTTCATCCGAGATGACCCATGTTCGAACTCATCCGAGCTTTCAACTAGATAAGCATCCTGACCAAGTTTGATGATGATTGAGGCAAAAATGCGACCGCTAGAGTGTTCACAAGCAATTGTGGACGGCCGGACGGACGACGGACGACGGACGACGGACATTCACCGATCCTAAAAGCTCACCCTGAGCAAGCTCAGGTGAGCTAAAAATTGAAATTAACAAAGTACTGAGCTGAGCAAAAATAAGTTATAAGGTTAACTGTATTCAAATATTGAAGAGATATGGACCTTTTAATTAAGAAGAAGGGCACACTTTTACAAAAATAAATTTTAGGGTTATCTGCCTTTCTGAATTGGTGACATATTTAAATTGTGAAAATGTCCATCAAATGTCATTTAAGATTTTAAAATATGCAAAATAGCCCTTACTCGCAAGCCATGCAGTAGAAATATTGGGAGGAATACAGTCTAAATAAAATCAGTCCTTAAAAGCATATAATTAACAAGCAAAGTATTTCTTTTATCTTATTGATATTTTTTTTTACATTTCTTCAAATTATTATACAATTCTCTAGTTTAATTTCCTTGAAATATTCTGGTTCATCTTGGGGCACGCACCTTTACTGAATAATGACGGGAGGGTCATGCTAACAGCTCCATTTCTTTTCTTCTTCAACACCAATCGCAACTACTCGGCCCTTTCCGTCAGACTTCGGATAAGGACGAACACAGTAGTATGAATACACAGAACGGATGCGGTATTTCGGTCTAACCTACGCTAAGAAACTAAACATGTAAACAAATAGTAATTTAATGTTGGGAGTTGTTTACAAGTTTATTTTCAATATATGTAGTAAAAGTTCACCTAAAATAAGTGATATCATAGGTACAAAAGCAAATAATTCATTTTTTATATATTAATTATTATGGTTGTAGAAACCGAAAGTACAAAAAACCAACCTGTTGTCATTTCGTCGGATTTGTTTAAAATCAATGGGCATATTTAAATTACAAATTGTTGTCAGACATATTTTCAAGCAAAAGAGTACCGGAACAGGCATTTGATGTCAAATATATACATTCGTTTCACACTATCTCTGTTTCTGTTTACATCTGAAGCCACGTGGTAGAACTACTTTCAATCCGTATTGTTTCCGATGTTAATATTATAGATAATAGCCGAGGCAGTTCCGAATGCTTCAACACTAGCGGTTACTTCATGGGGGTATACATTTGTATATTTTACTAGAATACAACGTTCATTTATATATGTATGCATAGCATTTGTATAAAACTGTAACAAACTGTAACAAAATATATTTCTATACCATAATTGTATATTATTATCATAATAAATTCATTGATCCAAAATATACCCATAGCAACCCCCAAGATTTTTTTTTATTTAAGACGTGTTTACCCCGATAAATTTTTGATAACGAACATATTTTGAGACTTAAACTTATTGTACATTTGAAATAAAAACTTTCCTCATTTTAAGCAAATAGGAAAAAATAAAAAGAAACTCAACAATAAAAAACGAATTCACCACTATCTGCAGTGTTCTCACAGAACTGTTATGTAGTCTGGAACACAAATCAATAAGCTTTTGTCAATGTTGTTTGCCTAAATGTGACTAACCGTCCTAGAATTATGTCGTCCATGTTTTCTCTTATCACACCTAACGCTAATGTGAATCAAGGATTCTTCTCTAGAAACAAGTTGCTAGTGATATCAAAAGTACGTACCTTTAACAAAATGTACCTGTAAATTTGTAAACTTACTAAGGATAGTTACTTTCAGACAAAGGTATTAACATTTTAGGTTTAAGCACAACACTTTAGCATATATAAGACATAAGCTGATGAATTTGACTATTAAACGCATTCCCTTTAGGATGAAGATTTTCACTATTATGGGCAACTGTTATTGACCAAACATCTAAATATATAACGTTATTTATGAGTTTTGAAAACTCTTCTCTGATGATTTCTTCAAAGAGAAGTGAAATTTTCGCATCAAACCATCGGCTATCATCTATACAAATATGTGGCCCTTTGAAGAATATTTTAGTATTTGGTTTTCTAATAACAAAACTTTCGATGGCCATAGCCAAATGTCTTATTCTTTCCCTAAATTTTGACGGAGGATACGCGGAAAAATGAGAATTGTAGTTTATTATTAATATCAATGATTTATTACTATCATTGCAATTTTCTAGTGAATGCAGAAGTTGAGGCACGGATACAATACCAATGGGTGGAAAGTTTGGATTATGGAACGGCATCTCGTGTTTAACATACATCAAGTTAATTCCATAATTTGTGAATAATTTCTTTGCATGATATTGTCCGTTTGACCCTAGGGCGTCTTTCATGTTAACACGTCCAAGATCTAGCACGTGTTCAATTAAATATTCTGCATAGTGTCTAATAGTAGAATCCCCAATTAGCACAATATTCTTATTTTTTAAACACCGCACGTAAGATGGTACATCATGTTTGATATTGCTGAAACAGTTAAAGAAATTCCATTTATTATTCAACCAGTAACCACTTGGACCAGATTCCGCCCATGATGATGACACTGGACGCTGACTGCATGAAACACCCCTTATTGCTTTATTGAATGTTGGGATTTCAAGAGACAATGTTTGTTTAAAAATTCCATGTCCTTTATTTCGTATCTTTTCTTTTTGAGGCACCATACTGTTATAAATTGGCCCAGTTCCAAATGATTCAATGTCTGAGCACTTTATTTTCAAGTGTTTAGGTTTTCCACAGAACCATTACATGCCACCATTAAGGCTTGTAAAATTGCACACTTTTTCATATCCAAAAATCATTTTGTTAGCACCACAAGCAGTAAGCCCCCTAAGTAGATTTTTTCGGAATGTTCCCCTTATTCCCCACGCCTTTTGCATAGCAAATACTGTATTTCCGTATTTTCTCAAGGCTTTCATACGGAGACAAGTGTTTTCAAGGGAAGAAGCCAATTTCAATGTCACTTTTGTCTTTCCTGTCCAGTACACTTTTACACTGGCCGTATAATAGCCATTTTTGTGATCAATCACGTGACCGGAAACGGGTCCATCTCCATTTGCTTGGCGTGCCCAGACGACAATGACGTCATCGCCTATTGTTTTTCTTCTATTGCTCATATCAAACGTTTCTATAGCAATTGTTATATTCCCTTTATCATCAAGTTTTATAACCGTTACTCTAGAAAATTTCAGACTTGTCATTTTCAGCCTATTAACAGTGTCCACATGAATGCAGAGTGCTTGCAATCGTTCTTCCGGTTTTAACTTTGTCACAGTGTACATGTATCTGGAAACGTTAACCTCGCTGTGATTTGCCGGTTTGAACTGACGTAAAAAATTGCATATCTTTCAGAAGCATATTTGTCCTGAATCTGTGTCAATGAAATTACTAAAATTATAATTGTGGCAGCTGCCAAATAAACGTAACGTAGTTCCTTGGACGAACTTGTTTGTGCCATTTTCTAATCGATTTCACATGACAACTCTGAAATAATAATAATTATAATTATATCTGAAAAAGTAAGCGTTAATTTTAGTTAATGATTAACAATATTCAATCATAAGCTATTTTAGAGATTTTGTGTCAAAAGTTATTGGAAGCGAACAAGAAGACATCACAGCAGCACACATTGCTGTAACTTTAAATCAGTTGGCACGAAATACTTGTTCACTGCTAAATATGCAGGACAGTTAGTCTATATTGCTGGTTTATTTTTACATTGTTTGACAATAAAACGTATGAATGAGACTACGTCTGATGCAAAATAAGATAATTTAAAAAAGAAGACTATTTGTGAAACTCGAACTCGTGACATAATATTTGATCGCAAAGAATCCCGACTACTTCCTGACATTTAACATTGAGGTTCAAACTAACCGTTATATTTGATTTTGTAAGACCCGTTTGTGGGTCGTATACAGACATTTGTGTACACATAAAATGAAACGTCAATCTCAAACAGTACTGCGGTAATTATCTATATAAATAAAATGTAATTTATATAAACAGTAGCAAATCGTTTGTTTTCTTTTAATATTTAATGACCAAAATCAGCAAAATAATAAATAGTTTTAATAGAAGGAAACCTTTTAATTGTCTCAATTTTCCTGGATACAAATGTATTGTTGCCTTTAAAGAAATAAATTAACATATAATAATGTCTCTTTCTTTGTCGTTTTTAAAGGTTGTCAGATTAGAACAGTAGTGTACATTTTTATTCATAACGCGGAATGTTGTAAATGTCGACCGGACATAATTTAGCCATGTATTTCTATATCTTTTATATTCTATTAGACTGATAAAATTTGGCTGCTCAAACGTATAAATTAGACATTTAGAGATGATAAATTTATCTAAGGAAGCTACGAGCTAAAAACTTGCTCACTGGTCGAGGTTAACTTAAATATTGTCACTGACTAAGTCTATGTTTGCCTTGTGATGAAGTACATGCGTCAAAAATTCCGTAAAAATATGAAGAAATACAAAACAATAGCTTACATGATCAGGAAGGGGTAATCTTTACTTAGTATATGGCGGCTTTGCAATGTGCAAATATCGAATTGATACTCACACATTCTTGTTACGTGATAAGACATATTCGTAATGTATACTGATGTAAAAACTTGTAAGTCTTATTAACTTCATCAGGTTGACACTTGTTGTATCCTGTCAAAAAAAACCATCAATCTTTGACAACTGTATTTGAATATGTTCGTTTTGTAATCCTTGAAGCTATGCTTCACCTCATACCTAACATAAATTAATTATGACGTTTTATTTTCCGGCAATTTTTAATTTTTATATTATACTAATTAAGAGAGCTAGGGGATCAGAGGTTATGAAGCTTGCATATCACAGATAACACGTCAAAAGACAAATTTAAAAAGCATGCAACATATCCTAAATGTGATTCAACAGTATTCAAATGAGGATTACTGGAACCACCCAGCAAGAAAATAAACGGATAGAAAGAACTAAATTACCACAAGCACAACAATAATGTCATGCTGAAAGATCTTTAATGATAGAAAATATAACATCTTTGATTGAATGTACGGGGCGACTTTTTACAGCCTCCACACAGCACAAACAAGGCTAATGTGGCTATAAAATAGAGAAAATAAGAATCACTAAAGAACTGAAGTCCACATTATAATGCTGCATGCTAAATTCCTTAGCTCTATGGAAGTTAATGAAAATATGTTTTCTTTATAAATGTATGTTAAGTTAGTGCCTCCAGTAAGGGGCCTCAGTTATTAAAGTCACCAAAAAACAATTATGCTTTTGAGTGAAACGTGTTTAAACGCTTTTCATTTTGGGTCATTGCGCGAATGATCTGAAATTTTGCACAAAGATTTGTGGTCTAAACCTACATCAAATGATACATTTATCTGGAAAAAATATTTTAAGTCCCCATCATGTCAAAAAAACCTCAGTGGAGTCCCTTTAAGTATAAATAACTGTCAGGGTTGTCTTATCCATAGAAATGCATTCAACATTTGATCGTGAATAAGAACTCTAAATATGAAGTGATTATATATGTACTCTCTTTGATAGTTTTTGACAAAATGTAAGTTAACCAAAATATTTAAATTTGAAAAAAGATACAAAGCTGAGCAAACATATGTTATTATGTTACCTGTATTCCAATATTGAGGAGATATGGCCCTTTTAAAAAAACATCTGTAAGAAGAATGGCACAATTATGCACACACACACACAAAAAAATAAAAAAAAAAAACAGAAGAAAGAAACGAATTTTAGGGTTGTCTGCCATTCTGGATTTATGTAACATTTGAATATTGAACATGTCCACTAAATATCATGTGAAAAAATGTTAGTTTTGGAGAAAATGGACGTCAACAAAAACGTTAACAAGGACAAAAAAAATCTGAGCTGAATAAGGGTCATAACTTCGCAAAAATAACTTATGATTACCTGCAATTTTTAGATAATAGTTTTAAAGCACGTTGTCATAAAGGTAACGAAATATTAACAAAGTAGTATTTTGACTTCTATACAAAATACTAAATCAATGTAATTTACCGCATTTTACTTGTCAATTCTGTCTCCTCGATGACACTTGTTAACTTATTAATGTAATGTGTTAGATCTACTTATTGACAGGCTCACGGCGATTTCATAAATGTCATTTGTCCATCAATTTTGACAATTTATAAATTGTTTAAAGCCGTCATACAAGAGTCAACAGACCGGAAATACGTAAGACTTCTCGAGTAATTGGCGACGCCGGTGAACGGCATCGTCTCTTATGGAATGCCTTTTTTGTTGCACATGGGAGGAGCTGTTATTATTGAAAGTTTATGTCATGTTGTGTTTATTAGTTTTATATTGATTCTTAAAAATAAAGTAAACAAATACGTTATTACATTTGTATCAAATGAATTATTTGAAAAGCATATTCTTATGAAATTGCGGGCTCAGTTTAACAGCTTATCCATACTAAAGGCCGGACAATCGCAACTTTTTGGCCGTTATAGAAAGTAGCCGATGGCTTTCCGATTGAAAGCCAGACTCCGAATATTGTTGTGGTCTACACTGACATTTTATTTTTATGCCCCCACATAGAGGGAGCATATAGCGTTGCACTTGTCCGTCCATCCGTCCGTCCGTACGTCTGTCCGTCTGTCCGAGCAAACATTTGATTATTATGAGCTTCATTCCGTAGTTAAATAAAGAACATTAACTCATAAAATTCAAATTAAGAGCTATTTTTTTTGTTTTTTTAGAGCGTTAATTTTGCTTAACTTTCAGGTTTCCTTATGGTGTGGTGTTAAGAAGACTGTTTGCCCGCACTAAAATTCAAAAGTTTGCGACGTCGTTAGTCCCAAATCTTGTGAACGCAACTCCTCTTAAACCGGATGGCAGATTTAGCTTAAACTTCCAGGGATGAACAACCTTAATGTGTAGATGGTAGTAAAGGAAGGAATTTTTGCTGCGACCAAATTTAAGAGAATTATGGCCCTTTCTTGATTTTTTCACAATATACTATGTAGAAATTTTGTGAACGCAATTCCACTTAAACCGGATGGCAGATTTTGCTTAAACTTCCAGGGATGAACAACCTTAATGTGAAGATGGTAGTAAAGGAAGGAATTTTTGCTGCGACCAAATTTAACAGAATTATGGCCCTTTGTTGATTTTTGCACTATATACCATATAGAAATTTTGTGAACGCAACTCCTCTAAAATCGGATGGCAGATTTTGCTTAAACTTCCAGGGATGAACAAACTTAATGTGTAGATGGTAGTAAAGGAAGGAATTTTCGCTGCGACAAAATTAAACAGAATTATGGCCCTTCGTTGTCGTAGGGGGCATCCGTGTCCTTTGGACACAGTTCTAGTTTGTTTTTGTTTTGTTATTAACCTTAGATTAGTTTTTATGGTCTTCACTGTTTATTTATGTTTGTGTGTGTTATGCATTGTACATTGTTTCGTTATGTTTTGTCAAACTTTTGTTGAAGTAAAATGAATTATTAAACACAACTTTATATCTATTGCACTTCACTTTTTAGCTCACCTGTCACAAAGTGACAGGGTGAGCTTTTGTGATCGCTTTTCGTCCGGCGTCCGTCCGTCCGTCGTCCGTCCGTCCGTAAACTTTTACTTTAAATGACATCTCCTTATAAACCACTTAGCCAATTTCATCCAAACTTCACAGGAATGTTCCTTTGGTGGTCACCTTTAAAAGTTGTTCAAAGAATTTAATTCCATGCAGAACTCTGGTTGCCATGGCAACCGAAAGAAAAAACTTTAAATATCTTCTCTTAAAAAAACCCAAGAGCTAGAGCTTAGATATTTGGCATGAAACATCTTCTAATGAGTGTCTACCAAGTTTGTTCAAATAAAAGCCCTGGGGTCAAAACTGGCCCCGCCCCAGGGGGTCTTTGATTTTCCCTATATGCATATAGTAAAAACTTAAAATATCTTCTTTGAAAGAACCCAAAGAGCTAGAGCTAAGATATTTAGCATGAAACATCTTCTAGTGAGTGTCTACCAAGTTTGTTCAAATAAAAGCCCTGGGGTTTTAACTGACCCCGCTCCGGGTGCCTTTATACAGGTGAGCGACCTCGGGGCCATCATGGCCCTCTTGTTTAGTATTTCCCTGTTTTTGAACAAATTTTCTCTGTAAACAAATAATGGAGTCAAGATCTTGACCAAGAGCCTTGGTTGATATATCATACAATGATATTTCAAAATACTAGTAACGACCGCTTAGTATTTCTGCAGTTGCAGTGTCTTTGACCTATAATAAGTTCAAAGGGTCAAGGTCACAGGGGTCAAATATAGCTAAGATCATTTGGACTGCAGTTAAAATATGTTGGTGTTTTGTTGATATGTCTTTCATACTTCTTTTACTTTGATTTTTATGTTTATATTTTTTTTAATTTAAATTTCTCCCTTTAAAAACATTTAGTATTTCCTAGCTTGTTTTGACTTTTCTTCACCTTCGACCAAGAATAAAGAAGTTTTCGTTCAGTTATATGAATAATAAATGTATAAGAAAATGTTTGTGTGGTTATTATTGAATGCTATAAGAAACTTACATTGCTCCAAAGAACACTTTTGAGTAAACAGGTGCGAGGGTTCTAAAACAAAATGATTTACAAATACTAACATTACAAAATGCCTCACTTTTTATTCTTGATAATTATATTATTATCCTTAAACTGCTAAACATTTTGGGTAAACTTGGTCAATGCATATCAAAATCAGCATACAATTCATTTAGTCTTAACTCAATCTGCACTGTCAATATGTCAGCAGTAATATTTTGTCCATCCATTTATTGATGTTGATCAATGGTACTATACAAAATGGAAGTGCAAAGCCCAAGTCCCTTATTGTCAACACTTTAAAACTAAATTTGATTTTGTTGTTTATTAAGTTCAAGATGAAGTGAACACTGACACTTATTAGTGCATGCACAAGTGAATACTTTTCATCTAGAAATAAGCTTTGGCTGCTTTGCATCAATGCTTTTCTTATTCAGGGGGATTTCCGGTTTGTTTCCATGGTGTGCACGTGACATTGACTCATAAAGAAGACTTAAAGCGCAAGAACCAGTAATTTTCTGTTTGAGCAACTTATATACAATAATTCACAAAGGGAGGTTCGAAGTCAATAACAGATACCACGCACTGGCTGCATCAACAAATATCAGACATGACACTGTCTGAATAAATACAGGATGATCTGATAACATCCATGCTGTTACTAGTAACATCAGTGCCGTTACTTGTAACACCCATGATGTAACTTGTAACAACCATGCTGTTACTTGTTACATCCATGCTTTTACTTGTGACATGCATACCGTTACTTGTAACATGCACGCCGTTACTTGTAACATCCATGCCGTTACTTGTAACATGCACGCCTTTACTTGTAACATCCAGGGCATTATTTGTATCATCCATGCCGTTACTTGTAACTGTCATGCAGTTATTTGTAAAATCCACGCCTTTACTTGTAACATCCATGCCGTTTCTCTAACATCCACGACGTTACTCGTAACATCCACGACGTTACTCGTAACATCCACGCTGTTACTCGTAACATTCACGTCGTCACTCGTAACATCCACGCTGTTACTTGTTACATCA